AACTTTTCTGCTAGCGAACCCTTTGTTAAATATTTCGAATATCACCACTGCATACAACTATATTGTTTCAACATTTTCCATACAACTACTATTACTTTTTTTTATGGGGCAAGCATTGTACATTTAGTAATAGTCATATTTCATAGGATTAAAAGTCAAAGTATATCTGTATTTTGTTTTTGAACACTTAATATATATAAAATGTTCCAGATGTTAATATAGATTATTTCAACCGATCTGAAAAAAATGTGAAGTATAATCCATATATAAAATGTTGTTTTCAAGACTGCTTAAAAATTGTTCATCCACTTTGTATGTCTTCATATTTTAGTTTATGTTTAACTAACAAGAAAGTTATTCAAGTTTAGTTTCATGGAAATTTACAAGTGCAGGTAATGTTGTTTTACTATATTTTTCAATCATAATATCCTTTGTCTTATAAATTACTATAATTTTGCATGATAACCCACAGCAGCATATAACCTTAAAAACTTGTTAGAATATAAATAAAACCTTCACATAATCAACACACTATATATCCTGCATCTCCAAAGTTTGTTAGAAGCTTACTCTTGTCCAGCTTTGAAGATGACATATCAAACATTTCATTTCCTCCACTTTTATTTCATTTTCATTAGTAGTTCATTGTAAATGTAATTATATATATATAAAACAAAGAAACAATTAGAAAAAGTGGAATGCATGTAGTCTTCAACTTTTGGATAATTCTTTTGTAAATGATACTTAAGGACCCTTAGCTTGCTTTTTGTGCATCAAATTTGTACTTTCGTATATCTTCTAGCCAACAAATGAAAATTTTGAGCTATTATATGATGCCACTGTCAATTTTGGTTTCAATAACATCAAGATCATTTGCAAAAAAAAATATATTTTTTATTATCTTTCATATTTTATTGTGATTTAAATATTATTATTTAAAATATTAAATATTTTTTTGCATATTGTAAAACAACTAAAGCTTTCCTACGTTGATAAGAATTTTAGTTTTTCTTCTATATTCTCTGGGAATGGAACCTTCTTTATAATATAACTCTACTGTTCAACTTTCAGACATATGACTTTTATACAAATTTTTAGGAATACAAAACACCCAAAAGTTGACAACCATCTGTATTTTGAAACATCTCAAACTGCACAAGTATTGAAAACAGAAATGACCTCCAAATGATAAAACTTTATAATTTTTGCTTCATTTCTGCTTTGTTTATCAAATAATAATTTTTTCTAAAATAAATTTTAAAAAATTAAATAGCAAAGGTTTTAATGTTGATATCCTACATAGGGATCTCCAACTTACTATCCCTAAAGAACATTTATCCAGTCTGCATATCTCTTTTTCATTGTATTTTATCAGCAATATTTGAACTTGTTCCAGCATATAAACTTTTGAAAAGTCAACTAGAATTAACAGACCTTGTTAACCCAAACCAGTAGCCTAGTAAATAAAACCACTAAACACTGATAGCTTCAGGTTCATACTTCAACAGGCAGGCCACATGGAGTTTTCTGGGTTTTTATCATGAATAACTCCTGAATAGAGGCAGGGACAATAAGTTCTTCAAGGAAGCACTCCTTGGTAGAAGGCCCATATGTTGCATTGTCTTATCCAATCAATCCTACAACCACCCCAATAGATCTTACCACAAATGATTTTTATAAAACCTATTTAAAGAAAAAAGTTTAGGCAGAGATTTGTAAAAATTTAACAAAGAAAATTTTAAGACTTATAAAGTTTGCACAAGGAATATTTTCTGTTTTTGCTTCTATATACCTATGTGAACTAATCTTTTTGAAAATTAAATATATAAAATCAAAATATCAATCAAACCTTATCTTCCAATGAATGTCTAAAGGAAGTTTTAATATTGAGTGCCACAAAATTTATCCTTAATTTTGATAACATTTTTTCAAAAAAGTAGTTGAAACACATTGATTTGCATTCGTTGTTTATTCAGAAATAAAAAATTCTTGATATTAATCTTTGACTATATCTTTCATACCTCACCGCCTTTTATAGCTCACATAACCCTTCTCAGAAAAAGTTAGATTCCTTTCCTATGATATGGGTTCAAAACTTTACCACTCAACTCTTAATTCTCTGTATAGAACTAACATATAATAAAATTGGCAATTTCTAGATAGTTGCCTAAGAGTCATTATATACAGAAAGGAATTACCAGAAATTTGTCAGTTTTTACGATACAAGTTCAATCTCCTGTATTTCAGCCAACTGTTCTACTACGTTAAAACTTAATCTTTCCTATAAAAAATTAGTAGTAATGACTAGCAACATTGATTAAAGTGTGGATAGATAAGTCAAAAACAAGAACTAAAGGTGAGATAAACACATTTAGTAGATGGTTTCAGAGAAAATCATGATAGTAGACAAATAAGTCTATAGTATGCAAAGAACTTTATGTTTTCCAGAGATAATATTGGTAAGATTACACAAAAGAGTTGAATGAGATCATAAATGCAATTTTAACTTGCATTTATGATCTCATTTAGAACTCTCATCTGTTTCTAAATTGACTTTTAAACATAGAATATACCATAATTTTATGCAGATAACTCGCAAGTTATCTGAAAGAAATTATAATGTATATATGCTGTATTTCCTCAATTCTAATTCATTTTAAATGTTCAAAACAAAAGTTCACCTTACAGTCAAAGGCACTTTTCATTTACTTCAAAACTACAATCAACAGTTATTGAGAAATAAATTATATAGCATATTATGCTCCAGTAACAGATACTTCAGCATTACTCCTAAATGGTTACATCAGTTCAAATGAGCTTTGCTTATGAAAAAGTTTAAATTAAATGTTCATTAACTTTTAAAATGTCATCAAGATAACATTAAAATAGCATTAAAACAAAAGTAATTATAAATGTAAGATAAATGGAAACAAAGCTCAGAAACAAACATTATCCTTATTTCATTGTACTTTTATTTTTTTTTCTAACTGTTACTTAGAATCTTAAAATTAGTTTTATTATTTCAAAATCATGTCTCTTAGAATCAAACAATAAAATTTATTCATTGTTTTAGAATTTAAATAAAGCTTTTTAAAAAAAATATCTTAAATTAACTTTGATCAGAAACGACATCATTTTAATTAGACATGACTATTAGTTAGTTTAATTAATACTCACCATTAACATAGCGTTTAATACTCAAAATAAACTTCACTTTGATTTAATTCTCTAACTAGAATACAAATNAACTAAACTAGAAATTTCAAATAATCTTATCTGTTGAGTGAAATACTATTTCAATACCACTTTTTAATTAATGAATTTATTAATTTAAAAAAAATTAATGAGACTAGGTATGTTGCTATCTATTAATAATAATAATAATAATAATGTTATATAATTGAATAATTTTACAAAAACCAGAAAAGTAGGATGGAACAGGATATGAGTCAATCTCAACTTGAAACTAAGTACACTATGAACAATTATTTTTTGTGGTATTGTCACAATGCCAGGCTGCAATTTTTAATCGTATTTTTAATTTATTTAATTTAAAATATATGCTCTCCACCTCAAATTAGTACTATAGTGTCTTACATCATACTTTTCTTTTAACAATACAGTCATGCCAATCATATAACACCTTTCAGGAGAAAATTTTAAATTGAAATAACATGACTTCCAGTGCATACTGAAGTTCATATATAGTTAATCAGGGCCTCCTGTCCGTAAAGTTTCCATATATTGTATTTCAACTATTTAACTGTTCTCAAGATTAAAGAAAGACTGACAAATAGATGACAGTGGGAATTTATAGGTTACAATTTTTTCAAATTGCAACCCAACTAAACTTATATAAACAGCAACATAAGCATATTGAAAATGTCACATAGTTTTAACTCATTTCACAAAACCATTCAATGAATGAGTTTGTACACATGACATTTTCAACAATCTGAAAAATGCATTTCCAATTATACTAATGAAACATTCAGATCCAAATTACAATCAGAACCAGCACATAAATTGCCAACTGGAAGTTATTTTTGCCCAAATTTCCTCAAAAGAGATGAAATCACATACATACATTACCAAAGGTTACAAATACAAAACTCCATCAATATCCAATTCATAAAAACATGGTTATATCAAATAAAAAACAAATTTATTAATTTATGAATTACTGATTAACTTTTGATTACTTGACTTTTATGGTGCTAATTGAATATTTTTATGATTAATTTATTGCTATAAATTTTGTTATTACAATTTAAAAATTCATAAAAAATTAATTTATTTAAGATTAAAATTTTTAAAAATTCAGCTTCAATTGATAAAGTTAGATTATACAGGAGCTCTCTACTTACAAATGTTCAACTTAAACTTTCAGATTTACAAACAATTTGACCATGTCTAAAATTTAAATTCTGTGCAGATTCTGAAAATATCTCGGTGAAAGTGGAGTGCATTGAAATCGGTCTTCAGCCAGTAATAAAATTTTAATAAATAACTAACGTAGACCAATTTCTATTGTGTATTGTCATTTTTCATTTTTGCACAACTTCTGAGGTTCTATCGATGGTGTTGAAGTTTGTAATGTTGGAGTAACGTTTTTCACTGTTCTTTACAATTTTTATAAACTTACAATTAGTGCTTCAAAAATTTAGTTTTCAACTTATGACAAAACCTCAGGAACCTAACCAGTTCATAAGTAGGAGAGCACCTGTATTTAAGAACTAGTTTGTTATTTTATTGCTTGATGAATATAGTAACCAATAATTTTCTTTTTAGTACTTTTTTGTTTAAAGAATTTTTTAATCTAAGATTTTTCAAAATCTGAGAGAATCAGCATTTAAATTCAAGAATTAATGAAGATAATCCTTTCACAGAATTTGATATTGCATCTTCATATAGTTATCTCAAAATCCTATATGCAATTTCTAATAATATATCATCTGAAAATCACTGTCATATTAAAAATTAAATTTTTAAAATTTTACCTCAGCAAAGAAATCTTCCATAAATCCTGACCCATGACTATCTTCCACAGTAACTGTCACCTCATCATCTCCTTGAGCCTAAAAAAATAAGTTAAAATAAATAGTTTTAACTTATGTACAGTATAATATATATCATATTACATTTGATGTATTCTATGATTCTATAATGTAATATAGAATCTTAATTTATAATTAGTCTATTGTTAGTTTATTAATAATGCCAAGTCTTATTGAACAGATCGGCTTGTTCTTTGTTTAGACAGTTACCATGTCCAGTCCTTAATATTAAATTTACAATGTATAATAATTCAAATTTTTATTTGATATATAATAGTTTACCTATTTCTTATAAATGAAATTTAAGATAAAGATATCAGAACACATCCAGTATCACAGAGTTATAGTTACAAGTCAGTGGGGCATATCCCCATTAGTATCTTAGCTTATCTTTGTATAAATGAAAAAAAGCTCTGTGAATACAAAAGTAAATGAAAATGTGAACATGAACTACACAACTTTATATCAGTTAAGTCACCTCAACTCAATTAATATTATACTGTTTGATGATATTTAAACTAAAAATCAATAAATCTCCAAAGCAAAGTTTAGTTTATTATAAAAACAAATCCTATGTCCTAGTACTTTCAAACTAAAGAGCAAAAAATACAAGGATATTGTTAAGAATGTGTTTTTATGATAGACTAAAACTGAATTTTATACTGTAATTTGATATTTTATTTTCAATACATGGCTTACATAAAACAGTATTTAGTGCAATACAAAATTTATTGTACTAAAATATTATATGAGATATTTATATAAATTAAGTCTTTAGTTAAAATTTATTTAACAAATTATTGCAAGCAAAATAAAATACTTTTTGCTAATTTGTGTATTTAAAATTTAATCTATTCCTGAATATAATGAAGTGGTAATTTCTAATGTTAAATTAATTTATTCAATACAGTTTCCATTAAATTATATCAAATTTTGTTGTTTCTTTTCTTTCCTTATTTTTTAGCCATTTATATATTAAAATAAAATGAAAATTCAAGAAGTATATAAAACTTATTTTAATTGTTTATAAAACTCCAAAAAATTAAGTACATCAAATACATAGTCACATCAGCAAAAAATTTGTAAGACAGCCTATTAGTTTTATAACAACACAGATTAATATTTAAACATTAAAAACAAATTTCCAGAACTTAAACCATAATTTTCTTGGAATTCAAGCTATGATTGATCAGCATGAAATCATTAAATATAAGCAACTCAAGCTTTCAAGCTTTTTGGTTTATCTTTGTAGATAAAATTATTAAATTATTGATACTTGGAAAATGTTTTGGAGGGGGAAACATTTTGGAGAAATTTATACCCCTAAAGATGAGCCAGGAAAGCTTGAAACTACAGTATTTTAAATATTTCGACTTAACTCTGATATAGCATAATTTTTTTTTATTAGAGAATTTGTTAGATAAAACAAAAATATTGCTAATTAATAACATCATTATAACATAATGATGTTATAATGATGTTATTACATAACATAAAGTCATCATCTGTGTGTATGAAACTATGAATTCCTTAAAACTCCTGCAATTTTTGTCCAATCCAGATGAAATTTTGATTATATTCAATTTATGTCCTAAGGGAAAGTATAGACTACTTATTTTGCATAAATATTAGCTATAGAATAAACATTTTATCAATTTCAGCTCGATGATCGCACTTACATTGCAGTGATGTCAGCGACCTCATTTAGTTCATGCTTGATGACAGAATTTCCCTTAAGTTTCATTTTTAAATATTTTGACAAATGGTATATTTTAAAAACTTACTTCATTAAATTAAAATTTAAACTTTAAAAAAAGATAACCGCATCATGTTACTTCAACAACAATTACAAAAAAAACTTTTTATAGTGACCACATGACATTCTATTATCCAATCAGAAGTAACAATCTAACGAGCCTACTATTTATAATGTATTATTGCACATTAACTATACTTTGATGGGCAGTATAGGCTACTTAATTTGTAGAAACATTAGCTACTCTTCTTGAATTTCTTGAAATCAGGGGTCATATTCTGGTCACCGTCTCTGATCTCGTCTCTCACAAGCCGGTCGCTGATTGGCTAATCATTTGGATTAGCCAATCAGAGACCGTCTTGTGAGAGACAAGAGACCAGAGACGGTGACCAGAATATGGCCCCAGTACTCTTCTGAATTCTTCAATCTCTACTTTCTATGAGAAAGTAGAGATTGAATAAATGCTGGCAGGGAAATTTCTAATATTTAGTAATGATAATAAACCAATACTTTCCAAGAATTTTACTTTCAAAATGAAGAAAAATATCAATTAAATATGCAACAATGCATACAAATTTCTAGTTATTTACAAATTCGTACAACAATTTATTATAAAATAACAAATTAACACATCCTTCTTACAATAATCCTCATTTATGTAATAGCAATTTTTTAATAAATTAATTTTTAAATATTTAAAATATGTAAAGGTCATAATTTTGATGCAAGAAAAACATTATTTCTGCCATTATCAATAATTTTAAGATGAATCGGCAATATTAAAAGTGAATTTTAAAACTTACTAGAATTTCGTATTGTTGTTGATGATGATACTTTATACTGCATTTTGTTTTCTGTAATATTAATTTTAGAAAATGTAAAATTAACTAAAATAACAAAAAATTCTTATAAACTATTTTTTAAAGTTAATCATTGATTTAGGAGACTAAAGTGGTATAAACATTGTTTCACGGATATTACAAAAAATTCATTTTTTCTATAGTAAAACATATGTATGAAAAACTAAATTACTTATAAATTCAGTATTTTAGAATGCATAAATACATCATTTTTGATGATACCTACAGTAAAAATAAACAATTCTATATTACAAATATTCTTACATTTGTATACTGGCTGATGCTGAAAGACTAAACAGAAAAAAATAATAATAAACACTTGAAAGAAATTTATTTGTGTTGTATTCAAATTCAGCACACCATATAATAAAATAGCAGCAAAATTACCACATTAAAGTATGTCCCAGTTGTAGAAAAGAATTTTCAGAGAGAAAAACTGATTAATAAATGCAGCTAAAAAACTATTAAAAAGTAAAAATGTAAATAATGCATTTTAAATAAAGCATAATAGGAAATATAAAACAAATAGGAAATGACTATCAAATTTTCACTGCACACATTCTGAATTTAAGACATATCCTGATTTTAAGCTCAGAAATAGGCAAGGAAGAAAAATAAAAGAAATGAAAAGTAAATGATGAAAGTTGGTTAAAAATTCATTTCACTTTCCTATTGCCTACACGTAAGTTATATATGTACAGTACAATTTAGTCTTAATTCAGTATGTCAAACTTTTTTTTATTGTTTGTCATTTTATCCAATTTTAAACAATTCCAAGTAATTAAAAAAAAGTTAATATATACAATTACTTGTACTTCAATTGGTTGCTTTTCATATAATGCTTTTAAATAGTGTTACCACCCATCTGGTTTTCACCTGGACAATCTGGGAATCAACTCACTGTTTGGGTGAACTATTAATTTTGTCCGGGAATATCGTGCGCAACCTGACTTTTTTTTTTGGGGTGCTTGTACAATTCATATTCGTACACATCTCCAATACCCAATACAGCTGAGTCATCTGTAGTTGCTTTTTCTTAATTTACTTATGTTAATCCTACCCAAGTCTCCCTAACTGTAACTGATTTAGAACCACCATGCACTGCACATTATTCTTCGCATTGCAAAATGACATTGTGCATGCGTCAGGAACTTCTGTTTGAACAAACCTCATCTGCCATACAGGTCAGCAATTTTGAAAAGGTGGCAACACTACTTTTAAATGTGAAAAATATGAATTAAATTGTACAAAACTAATGCTAATTTAGTATTTTCAACAACTTGAAAAACTAAAAATTTAATTTATTAATAAATTTAAAACTAAATTCAATATTAAACACACTTTTCGAAAAGATCCTCAAAATATACTGTACTGTACATACAATTCAACTCAATTCTCAGAACCAAACACATTTCAGAAAACAAGTTTCCCAGCTATATGAAAATCATTAAGAGTCCACAAGATTCTAAATAAAGACAGAAACAAGTGGTCGCTTTACTAATAGTACTAATTTGATGTCTTCTTTCAATATTTATTTCTAGTGTTGATCTCCAATGACAGACTTATATCTTAAATTGAAACTACTTGGTTTTCTAAAGTTTTCATTTCAAGAAAAGCAGCTTGGATTTTATTTTTTCAGAAGAGAAAAATAAATATAGACAATCTCTGATTTCCAGACAATACATTCCTAAAATATTGGGTTGTTCGGAAAGTAAGTTCATTTTTTTTCCGTGGAAAAAAACGCAATATTCTTATAATAAATATGACCATTTTGGTCAAATACCTGTTGTCATCGTTTCTGGTAGTAGCACGATTTCACATTCATAAAAGTTTTGATCGTTGCTTACAAAAAACCGATCCAAGTGATTTTTGACATTGTCATTTCGAGTAAATGTCTTACAGTTAAAAAAAATTGTATAGACTGGAACAAGTAATAATCGGAGTGTACTCGATCTGGCAAATATGGTTGGTTTGATAGCATGTCCCATCTAAGTTATAACAGTTTCTGACGAGTTACCAAACTTGTGTGAAATTTGACATTATTGTGGTAAAACACTACACCTGTTTTTTTTATCAATTCTGGCTGGCTTTTTCTGTTTGATGATATTATGCAATTTGTTTACTCGAATGCAGTACACTTTCGAATCAATTGTTAAATTTTCTGAGTAAAAGCTCCAAAAAAAATTTCCTTAAAATCCCACCAAATAGAACATTTCTCTTTAAGAACTCGTGGAATTCATGTATCGAGCTTTGAAACGAAACCAATTTGTTTCAAGTACTCATAAACAGTTCAATTTGACAAATTTAATCTCTTAGTGATTTCACGTGTTGTTATTCCGCAGTTTGCTTCAATCGGTACTGTTATTTTGTTTTCATTGACTTCAATTGGCCATCCATAACGTGGTGCATCTTCAATACTGAAATTGCGAGAATGAAATTTTGTAAACCAGTTTTGGCACTGTCGTTCTGTCAACACATCTCCACCATACATGTCACACGATTTTTTTCTTGCTTCAACGGCGTTTTTATTTTTTTGGTAATAAAAAAGCAAAATATGCCGAAGATGCTGCTTTTGATCTTCCATATTTGATGGGACACAAAAAATAAACAATTGCACGAAATCAAACAAAATTTTTTACAAATAAGCCATAATATGCTAGCTGTCAAAATATATAATGATAATACGGTTTAGAACGAAAATGGCGGGAAAAATACCACTAATCCGTCTAGTGGTAAAAAAACGAACTTACTTTCCGAACAACCCAATATATACAGTCAAACAATAGAATAGCATGTTGTAAAGAGAGCTGTTTACTTTTAAAATTATAAAATCTTACATTAAGATAGGAAATTTTTACTTTTTACAATATGTTATAATGTATAAAACATTAAAACATTCAAATAATATATTAAACAGAAAACAAACTTGTAAAAAGTAATGTTTAAAAATGGTTTTGATGCTACTAAAATAAGAACAGGAAGAATAAATAACACCATTGCATAACTCAAAATTTTTGTCAGCTGAAAATGTACAGCACTATGAATTTCAGTTGGGAAAAGATTTACAAATAATAAAGTACAGTATTATGTAAGAACAAATTATTTGAAAGCAAAAAGTCTAATCTGAAAGTAAAGACCACCTATATTATTGAATTAAAAGAAATCTATTCCTCCTTTTATCTAAAAGAGTATTTAATATATGTGTATGATAATTTTTAATCATGCATAATTTTAATAATTAAAAACATTTTATTCATACATTATTACAATGAATTCAAAAATTTTGTATCGCAGAATTAAATTCTTATTAGATAATGAATACTTAAATATTCAAATAATTTAAAAATTATGAATAAAGATTTTTTTATATTTTTCTTTCTCTATTACTATTATTCTTCATACTGATCAGCAGTTATCTCAATAGAACACACAAACTACATTTGACCTTCTCTGCCTTGAGGCAATGTCTCTATCACACCTATCATACATTGGCCAGATCCATGATGGAGGCAGCAGATTGGTGAGGGATGTGATTCAGTATATCCAAGTCACCCATAAAAATTTGAGGTTCTGATCTGAAGTAGAATCCCCATAATAGCAGGTCTGCTTTGGGTGTTTTGCCATTAACATCAAAATTAATAAGTAATACTTGATTAAAATAAATAATAATCAAGCATTTCCTAGGTAACAATTATTTAAAATAAAATTAATAATTAGATAATTTTTATATTCAGTTGAATAAACAAACATATATTCTAACTATTCAACTTTTAAAATAGTTTTTTTCATTGTTACTTTATATGCAGAAGTCATTCATATCATTAATCAATTCTTTCAAAAAGTTAAACATTTCTACAAAAGCATTCATTTTCTAAAGAGCACTTTCACTGCTGTTACTAAAATAGCAAACATTTTTCCTTGACAACAATTCAAACTACAATTTGAAAAGCTTTGTTAAATTATACAAGAAGGAAAAATACCAGCTATTTTATTAAAACATTTGTTATAATTTTAGTTTGTATGTGTTATTTCCTATAAAAACATGTAAGACATTATAACTGATTCATCATTTAAATTTATTTAACCTTCCTTTAGATTATTAATTAAAAATAAAAATAGCACACTTATCATTAGATACTATTTCTATTTTTAATTGATTTAACAGTTTTTACTTAATTTCAGCAACTAATCTTTCTTAATTATATATTTTATTAGTTACAAAAATTGTAAATAAATTCTAAAATGTCTAAAATTCAATTTAAACCACTTTTCTTGAGTAACATTTACAAAACTTAATACTTCAAGCTATACACTCCTAACGATGGACCATGCAGCCTTATAGGACCGAATTCTCCAATTTTGCTCTACAGAAAGCAATTTGAATTTGTTTCATATTTGAGAAATTTCTTAATAAGTGTTACCTACAGAATTATGAATATAAGTCAATTTGTATTTCTATACAAACTGACACAGTTCAATAATTTGATATTAAAATTAATCATATAAAATTTGAAAATGTAATAATCAAGTTCATACTTTATAAACTCAATTTTCAGATCTCTTGCTTAGAATAATATATATTAAGAATTTTCCACAGATTAAATTCCTTAAATTTCAAACATTCAAAAGAAATTTTTATCTTAAAACTTGAAATTATGATAATTTTTTTTTGTTTTCTAAATCAAATACTGTATTTTGAAATTTTTGAATAGCTTTTTTTCCACCTTTCATTATTATTAAAAAAATATTTATTTACATATTTTAATATGTTTAACAACAATCTAATATGATGACAGATTTCAAATTGCCCCAAAACATCCCACACAAGTGTGTAATTCAACTGTTAAATTCAAAAGTTGTTTAAAGCATTTAAAATAGATTTTGAAATATAATTAATTTTTTGTAAAGTTACTTTTAATTTTCCAAACTTAACTATGCCATAAATTAGTCACCTAATGCTGTGTTCAGAAATTTTGCTTGATATAATTTCGAAG